GCTCAGTTGGTAGGGCGTCGTTCTTGACGGCGCTGACAGACTGCCGGTGGTGGTTCGATTCCCTGCTGGTCCGCGAGTAAGCCTCAAGACCGTAGACCCGCCGAAAGGCAACGGGCTCGGGCAAAAAAAAAAGGAGAAGATGGGATCTACATCTCACCGAATGCCAAGTACATCCCAAAGTCGGCTGAGTTGCTGGGCATCGGAGAAAGGCGGGGCAAGAGTGTGCCTCATCACAATGCCTTGATGGCGTATGATGTTGAAACAATTCCAATGGAGGAATACTTGGATGGCCCACTTGGATGGCCCAGACGCTAAGATGTTCAGATCAGCATTGGGCATATGTCTTTACATTGCTTAGGAAAGGCTGGATATCCAACAAACAGTTCGAGTCCTTTCCAGCTACATGGGTCGCCCAACACGAACAGCTCTTTGTGCTCTACGCAAATTGGGAAGCTACCTGATCTACACTCAGGACATGAAGATGCATTATCCTTGAGCTGAAACCTATGCATCGACTTTGACAAGGTGAAACGGTGTGGAAGAGCGCAAGGATGGGAGCCCCTACGAGGTCGAGCTCTACAGTGACAGCGATTGGGCGAGTTGCAAAATCACAAGAAGATCGACATCTTCAGGATTGATCTTTGTGAATTCCTGTTGTCCTGTTGTGTGCACAGTCACAGTCGTGCACAAGTGTCAATCTCACTTTCTTCAATGGAAGCAGAAATCCTGGCAGCTACGAGTTTGCTGGTGGGAGGTATTCAACTGAAACTGAAACAACTACTTCAATTCCTTCTTGGAGACAATGGTGGTTTGAGCAACAACTCCAAGGTTCAAATGTGGCTGAGGCTTGATTCTACGAGCACGCAGGGTTTCTTCAATCGTCTTGGTCCTGGACGAGCAAAGCACTTATCAACCAGAATGATGTGGAGCCAACAAGCGATGCGGAAAAGATGGTTTCTGGTGGAAAGAATTTCTACAAAGGAGAATCCTGCGGACTTGAACACCAAGCCATTATCCCGTGAACGCAGAGAGTACCTCATGAAGAAGATTGGTTTGTGCAGCGAAACGTTTGAGGAGAAGCCCAACAATGCCACGAAGGTGAAGCAAGTTGTTCGTTTGGTGACTGCAATGCTCATGGCTGGATACCTACAAGGATGCGATGGTGATTCTATGTGGTGAACAAGGTCTATGGCATCTACGTGGATGAACCCTTTGACATGGACATCAACAACAAGGTGGACATTGACAACAATTGCGTTGGTGAGCCTGGTGACCTACTTGCTGAACAAGATCAACAAGCTGAAGATCCAGATGGTCCTGGCGGAGGTGATTCGAGATCAAGACCTTCGACCTGGGACTACGATGAGAGGGAAACATGAGAGTGGCAAGGTCAAAGCACCAATTGAAGTTACCAGTAGTACTGCACAAGGCGGTGGCGGAAGTTTCAAAAATAGGAAACCTATAGGAGAGGTTGGTTGTTGTGAATCAGGGATGGCAGAGCGAAGCCACTGATGGACCGAAAGGTGCTTGAGGTCTCCTCTCTTTCTTTCTCTTTCTCTGACTATCTACCTACCTACCTACCTACCTATCTATCTATCTATCTATGTATCTATCTATCTATGTATCTATCTATCTATCGATCTATCTCTCTCTCTCTCTCTCTTTCTCATCTAAGTACATATCTATCTACCTAACTATCTATCTATCTATCTGTCTGTCTATCTATCTATCTATCCATCTATCTATCTATCTATCTATCTATCTCTCTCTCTCTCTCTCTTTCATCTGTCTATCTGTCTAGCTGTCTACCTGTCTATCTGTCTATCTATCTATCTATCTATCTGCCTATCTGTCTACCTGTCATCTGTGGTGCAGTGTCATTCAGTGAAATGTAGTGTAGTGGAAAGTAGTGTAGTGTAGAAAAATGTAATGTAGTGTAGTGTAGTGTAATTTAGTGTAGTGGAGTGTAGTGGAGTGTAGTTGTAGTTGTAGTGTAGTTGAGTGTAGTGTAGTGTAATGTAGTGAAGTGTAGTGGAAGGTAGTGTAGTGTAGTGTAATGTAGTGTAGTGTAGTGGAGTGTATTGTAATGTAGTGTAGTGTAGTGTAATTTAGCGCAGTGGAGTGTAGTGGAGTGTAGTTGCGGTTGTAGTTGTAGTGTAGTGGAGTGTAGTGTAATGTAGTGAAGTGTAGTGGAAGGTAGTGTAATGTAGTGCAGTGTAATGTAGTGTAGTGTAGTGTAGTTGATTGTAGTGTCGTGTGATGTAGTGTAGTGTAGTGTAATTTAGTGTAGTGGAGTGTAGTGGAGTGTAGTGGAGTGTAGTGGAGTGTAGTTGTGTAGTTGTAGTTGTAGTGTTGTGGAGTGTAGTGTAGTGTAATGTAGTGAAGTGTAGTGGAATTGAGTGTAATTGAGTGCAGTGTAGTGTAGTGGAGTGTAGTGTAGTGGAATGTAGTGAAGGTGTAGTTGTACTTGTAGTTGTTGTTGTGTAGTCTAGTGTATTGGATTGTAGTGTGATGTAGTGGTGGTTGTAGTTGAAAATGCTACAAAACCCTCACGTTTTGCTCACTTTTGACAAGGTGCACAATCCCTTGCACCTGCCACGCGAAGCGACATCTGAACCTCCAAAAGTGGTCTGAACCGTAGTGTTTTTAACATGTTGACTTCAAAATGTGCTTCGCGCCACAACGGCGTCCACTTTTTCGACATCTCAACTTCCAAAAGTCGTCCGACACTGAGGTGTTTTGCACATTTTGACTTCGAAATGTGCTTCGCGCCACAACGGCGTGCACTTTTTCGACATCTCAACTTCCAAAAGTCGTCCGACACTGAGGTGTTTTGTACATTTTGACTTCGAAATGTGCTTCGCGCCACAACGGCGTGCACTTTTTCGACATCTCAACTTCCAAAAGTGGCCCGAAACTGGTGTGTTTTGCACATTTTGACTTCGAAATGTGCTTCGCGCCACAACGGCGTGCACTTTTTCGACATCTCAACTTCCAAAAGTCGTCCGACACTGAGGTGTTTTGTACATTTTGACTTCGAAATGTGCTTCGCGCCACAACGGCGTGCACTTTTTCGACATCTCAACTTCCAAAAGTGGTCCGAAGCTGGTGTGTTTTGTACATTTTGACTTCGAAATGTGCTTCGCGCCACAATGGCGTGCATTTTTTCAACATCTCAACTGCCAAAAGTGGTCAAACAATGGTGTGTTTTGTACATTTTCACTTGGAAATGTGCTTCGCGCCACAACAGCGTGCACTTTTTCATCTCTCGTCTGGCCAGCTCGCTCCGCGCCCGCCGCTTTAGTGAGCCTACTTTTTCGACCCTCCGGAGCCACAAATCATTGGAAAAACACAGTGTTTCGCGACTTTCCTCCCTTTTCGCGCATCTGCGTCTTCTTTCTTCTGACTCTTTCTCTTCTACCGTTCTTTCTCTTCTCTCTGCCTCTTCCCTGCTCTGCTTTGCATCTGTCCATATTGTCGGAAGTTTGACTTCTAAACTTCCTTCGACAAAAGGGGCAGACAATTGCCCTGCGGTGCAAAGACACAAAAGAAAGTACAGAAAAGGTGGCATGCGCCGAAAATCGGTGAATGCCAAGGCGGGGCGTCAAACAGTAGCATGGATTCAGACACCTGTGTAGTATCTGTACTTATCAGTGTAAAAACTGTGACTTGCCACCAATGCACAGTGGCTCAAAGCGTTGCAAAACAGATGCAGCGGCATTTCAGAAAGTTAAAATTTGGAATATAAGTTTCAGTGTGTCGCTATAAACAGCACTTGGCCCAATTGATTCGTTTGGTTCACTTGACCTGGTTGGGCCCATGGATTCGGATGCACTTGATTCTTCCAGAACCAATGGACCCGGTTTGCCGAGTGGGCCCAGTTCACCCGGTTGAACTTCAACTCGGTCAACTGGGTCAACTCGGCCTGTTCAACTGGTTCGACCGGGCCAAAACTTTAGCCACTGGTGCCCACACACTTTGCCTGAGTTGGCTCAAGAAGAACATCATGATCCATTATGGTTCTATCATGTTCTATGTGTTTTACCACTTCCTTGTCTTCCACTTAGACTTGTCTCCTACCCTGTCTTCCTTTTGTTCTTCTGCCGCGGAAAAAACAAGAAACCGTGTGGCATGAGAAACTATTGCTTGTGATTCATGTTGTTGTCAATTGACATGAGTAAAGAATGGTCACCATCAGGTGATGGTATAACCACAAACATGCACACAAACGTTGCAATGGATATGGAATAGCCGTTTGGGGTCTACGCGGGTGTAGTTTTTAAATCGTTGTCCATTTTGAAGACTGCTTCGGCCTCCGTGCTTGGAATGTTTTTTTCAAACATCTCTTATTGACTTGTGGAACGGTTTTGCCAGCGAGTGCTCACACATAGTTTTAGCATGTTTTAGCGAATGATTTCGATGAAATAATTCGGGAACAATTTTTAAAAAGAACCTTTCCATGATCGATGGTACCCCCTTGGTTTGAGGCATTCAACATCGTCATCAGCCGTCCGAGGGAGTGCGGGGACACTGAAAATTCGGTTTCAGGGGCTCAGACGAGTTACAGAGAAAAAACATATGTCCAAAATTGGCACACTAAACAAAACGCAGACAAACACTGCCAGCTAGGATCGAGTGCATAGCACTTTCTTCCATTGAACACTCCCAGAACCTTTGCTTTTGTTGTGGCCATGTCTTCTTGAACTCTACGTCCCATGTTCCAAAACCATGAGTTGAAATTATTTGTGAGTTTCCCTGGAAACAGGGGTTCAGTCAAATCAATAGCGGCGTATTTCATGTGCGAACGCCGTATGCATCACAAAAGCAGGAAAAACACACTCAAATCAGTTTCTGCGCTTCGCTAGAAAGGATGTTGGAGGAGTGGACTGTGACCCATTGTCTGTAATCCGTTTGCACGGGCAGTTTTGGCTCCAGATTGGTGTCCTTATAGTTTTTGTTGATTGCAGAATCTAGCGCCATTCATATGCGAAGCTGTGGAAATGCGACCGGCGCTTGCTGTGGAGGTTGTCGAGCCTCCAGAATCCCATGCACACGACATTCCAAGTGATGATGGTGTGTTTCGGCTGAAGGAGTCAGTTGAATTTAGGTGCAAAACACAAGTCCATCCCGTGCTTAAAATCATGTGTGACGGCTTCAGCTTGTCCAGTTGCCCAACTTGGTCAACTTGGCCCAAGGTCCTCTTTGGCATCATGGTGGCTAGCGGACTCTTGCTGCTCATTAGGGTGGCAATTGTGCTGATCTCGTTGTGTAAACACCCATCAGGCCAGTGGCGCTGGGTGCAAAAAGGACCATATGTACATGCACTACCATGTAACAATGACATATTCTGACATATTATGACATATTCTGACATATAATGACAGACATATCATGACATATTGTGACATATTGTGACATATTATGAGATATTATGACATCTTGTGACCTATTATGACATACTGTGACATATTGTGACATATTATGAAATATTATGACATATTGTGACATATTATGACATTTCATGACATATTGTGACATATTATGAGATATTATGCGATATTATGAGATATTATGAGATATGATGACATATGATGACATATTATGACATATTATGACATATTATGACATATTATGACATATTATGACCTATCATGACATATTGTGACATATTATCAGATATTATGCGATATCATGAGATACTATGAGATATTATGACATATGATGACCTATTATGACATACAATGACATAGTATGACATATTTTGACATATCATGACATGTTGTGACATATCATGACATATTGTGAGATATTATGAGATATTATGAGATATTATGAGATATTATGAGATATTAGATATTAAGACATATTATGACATATAATGACATCTTATGACATATTCTGACATCTTATGACATATTATGACATATTATGACATATTATGACATATTATGAGATACTATGAGATATTCTGACATATTATGACATATTATGACATATTATGACATATTATGACATATTCTGACATATCATGACATAATATGACATATTATGACATATTATGAGATATTATGACATATTATGACATATTATGACATATTAGGACATATTATGAGATATTATGACATATTATGACATATTATGACATATTATGAGATACTATGAGATATTATGACATATTGTGACATATCATGACATAGCATGACATATTGTGACATATTATGCGATATTATGAGATATTATGACATATTATGACATATCATGACATATTATGACATATTCTGACATATTATGACATATCATGACATATTGTGACATATTATGAGATATTATGCGATATTATGAGATATTATGAGATATTATGACATAGTATGACATATTATGACATATAATGACATATTATTATGACATAGTATGACATATCATGACATATTGTGACATATTATGAGATATTATGCAATATTATGAGATATTATGACATATCATGACATATTGTGACATATTGTGATATATTATGAGATATTATGACATATTCTGACATATCATGACATAATATGACATATTATGACATATTATGAGATATTATGACATATTATGACATATTATGACATATAGGACATATTATGAGATATTATGACATACAATGACCTATTATGACATATTATGACATATCATGACATATTGTGACATATTGTGACATATTATGAGATATTATGCGATATTATGAGATATTATGAGATATTATGACATATTATGACATATTATGACATATCATGACATATTGTGACATATTGTGACATATTATGAGATATTATGCGATATTATGCGATATTATGAGATATTATGACATAGTATGACATATTATGACATATAATGACATATTATTATGACATAGTATGACATATCATGACATATTGTGACATATTATGAGATATTATGCAATATTATGACATATTATGACATGTAATGACATATTAAGACATATTATGACATATCATGACATATTGTGACATATTATGAGATATTATGCGATATTATGAGATATTATGAGATAGTATGACATATTATGACATATAATGACATATCATGACATATTATGACATATCATGACATATTGTGACATATTGTGACATATTATGAGATATGCGATATTATGAGATATTATGAGATATTATGAGATATTATGACATATTATGACATATTATGACATGTCATGACATATTGTGACATATCATGACATATCATGACATATTATGAGATATTATGCGATATTATGAGATATTATGAGATATTATGACATATTATGACATATTATGACATATCATGACATATTGTGACATATTATGAGATATTATGCGATATTATGAGATATTATGAGATATTATGACATATGAGATATTATGACATATAATGACATATAATGACACATTATAACTATGTCCACATGTACTCTTGATAAGGTTTTTTGCTTTGTTTTTTTTGTTTGGCCGCATCGCATGAATGGCTGATACAGGCGCAGTATCTCAGAGTGACGAAAAGAGCAGGACACTTGGTCTCATGGTCAACTACTTTGGGCAGGAGTTGACTTTGTAATCTTTAGGCATGGGAGGCATATCAAATTTCAAAGCGCATAGTTTTTACATTGTTTTCTTTGAGTTTCTGGTCTTGGCATAGTTTGATGTTCGCTTCGTCTCATTTGCTGTGCATCTTCATGCAGGAACATCTCAAAAGGAGTGGTCTTTTTTGTCGTGGCTCTAGCGACCGTGCTGATGAAGATTGCCAGCGTGACAGCTCACGGCTTGGTGGCCATCAATTGGCTTTTGGCAGGCTGCGGAATGGCTTTTGGTGGCTAGTAGATAGAGTAGGTGGCTAAAAAGGTGGCCGAAGTATGCAAAACAAAGGACAAGTTGGGAGACCTGTTTTGCAGTCCGATGGGCAACGCTTGAATGCCAGGCGCGGAGCCGGGTGTGCCATTGGTTGCTTGCTTTGCGGCTCAGTTGCAGCTGTTGAGACTTCAAGTTTGGTCATGAACCTTAGGTTTTGCGTGCACGTGACCATTGGAACAGAACACGACCGGAATCTTAGGTCTTGGTCGCGATCAACACGCACCTTCTGACATCTGTCGCTATTGTAGTGCACTTGCGAGCGCTGTTGGCCAGTGTTGCCGAGCTCTCTTGAAGGTGTTCACTATTCTTCACAGAATTGGGTTGGGCTTGGTTTTTGGGATAGAGGAAAAGCAGGGCAGGACATAGTTGTTGGTAGCCAATGTTTGCTTACATAGTTGTATTATTGGCCTGGCCGCTTCTCATTTGGTTTGGAATTCTATTTAATCACGCTTTGCAGCTCCACTTTCGCATATGTTGCAGCTCATGGTTGGAGCGGAATAGCCTGCCCTTGGCTTTCAACCAAGAATCTAAGGTTGCCATTTGCAAGCAGAGCAACATCAAGTTTCAAGGCGCCCTGCTGTCTGTTTGAAGACTTTGTGGGGCAACGAGACAAAGAAATCAGCCAAAAAAGAACACACTCAACATGCCTCGTGTCAACGTGATCCAGGCATAACCAACCTCTGGGGAGCACCAGCTGGTGTGGCATGCTTGCTGATGAATGGGGTGGCCACTGCCATTTTGCTGGCTTATCTTCATCATCGCTCTGGCAAAATCACTACATGGTTGGTGACTCATTCGCACTTTGCAGCCGGAGTATCATGCATTTGGCGAAGCGATCGTGGCGAAGAATATTTTGTTAACCTGTTTGGAACGATTTTGAGGGAGATGGTAAAAGGATGGAGAAAGGGGAGAAAGACTGGCAGTTCCAATAGATTGGCCGAGAGCTCAACGGCTTGACCCATGATGGAATGAGTTGAGCGGCGAGGGAAAGAGGGGAACTCTCGGATATTTTTTTTTGCCCCGAAGTGTTGGAACTATAATAAGATGACTTTAAGATGGTGTTAGTTATAACAATGTTATAACAATATTGTGTTATACTCTTTTTGCCATTAACAGCACATTCTTTTCCTATAGTAATCGAGTTGCCAGATCGAAGATGACCGAAAACCACATATATGTGCCCAGTCTGTGAGGACAGTGTAGTATGTGCCTCACGCCGATCTGAATTCAAGAATCAGGATGTCCAGATGCTGCAAAGATCTATTGAAATCATTTTAAATCTGACTTATTGATGTCAAAATTAAAGATTCTAACATCTACCCATGTCACATCATGTCACCGAAATCCCAATGAGAAGAAATTGCGATTTATGTTTTGATCAGACAGGTCCAGAAGCCATTCCAGCAACATGGTCGGGATTGGTCGGGTGCGGAAATGTGAAGACTTTGACTCGACTTGGGCGATTTTTTTTTAACGGCCATACATAGCGTAGAAAACTTGCGCATTGCCTCTGTGTCACCACCTTTCATCGTCACCAGGCGACAGCCATGAGCTTCCTGCTTTGGGCCAACACGAACTTCAAATCAGTCGGGCTTATGGATTCAGAAACCTGGGAGGACAATGATTCACCCGAAAGATCCAAGCAGACAGTGCAAAGTGGGCTCCAGTTGTGTTGAAGCATTTTTTTGCACCCAAAATTTGATTGCTCGTCTGATCTTTTGATTTTTTTTGAACATTTTGAAACATGTGGGCCATGTGGGTCTGCGATTTGATGATAAACCACAGATGCTGCTGATCGCGTGGAGTTGATGCATGACGAGTCCGCCAGGATGTGCAGGGTTCCGTCTCCAAGCCTCCCATTCCAGCAGCTGAGTTCATGAGGACATCTTGTCAGGGCACTTCACACCGATAGCCTCTAAAATGTTCACGCGGATTCGACAAAGAAGAGCATGAAGAGCTGCCGCAAGCACTTGGATTTGTTTTTACATGCTTTCTCCAAAATTGGTGGTGACTTGTAAAGAGTTTTGCCTGGTCACACCTTGTGCTGAAGCCGTGCGCAGGAGCATTGGCATGATGCCCGGGAGCAAGCCGAGACAGATGAGACAGGTGCAAGCCCGAGTCACGTCTCCAAGTTGCTCCAGATGGTGCTCTGTTCAACAAGGACTCTAAATTTATTGGAATCGAGATGCCATGAGACGCCCAAATGCTCTGGAATTTGCCCGTGGGTTCTTGAACGCGACATTTTGCATGCGCTATCATGCGCGATATTTATGGCTTGAATTATTATGTCGTATTGGGACCTCGCACTGCACAACTGTTTGCCCTGCCAAGACAAAAGACATGGCCGGCTCATATCGCTTCGGAACGCAGGCTTTCTTGCGGATTAAAGATCATGCATGAACCTTCTGTAGATGTAGCGAGTCCAGTGCCTTTGTTTTGTTGGCCTTGGAAAAGTAGAAAACACGCTGCTTAGATTAGTTTACGTTGATTGAAGGCAGCAAGCAGTGCGTCTTCGACTGAACCGAGCTTATCAGAGCAATCTAGATGGCAGTAACTACAGTAACTGTTTGATCTTGTGAGTCCGCCTTAAATGGATGGCTGTTGGATTTGCAACTGAAGTCAGATACAACGTCATGCATTTTTGAGCGCAAAATCTTGCTCAGTTTGCTTGGGGATGGTTTTCTAGCATCTTCCAGCGTGTGTTTTTTCGGGGTTTTTGAGCAG